CCCCGCCGAGCAGGGAGCCGGATGCGGGACTCCATCCAGGGACTCCAGGATCATGACCTGAGCCGAAGGCAGTCGCTTAACCAACTGAGCCACCCAGGCGCCTGAATTTCTTCCTATTAACATGCCTTGTAAAGATTTGTGTGGAGAGAATTATATCAAAACTTCCTTAAAGCCATACTAGAATTATTTTTGTTATTTTAGCTTTATGTTGTCATTCGGATGTTCTGTGAGGGCCCAGAATAAAGAAACTAAGTTGAAGAATTTCAGAATGCAAAAAAGTAAAGGCCAAAGAATATTTTCTAGGAGAGGAGGATTTTATTTATCTATCTATCTATCTATCTATTTATCTATCTCTTTTTTTTTAAGAGAGGAGGATTTTATTTTATTTTTTTATTTAAATGTTTTTTAGAGATATTTTATTTATTTGAGAGAGAGAGAGAGCACAAGGGGTGGGGAGGGACAGAGGGAGAAGGAAAAACAGACTTCCCGCTAAGCAGGAAGCTGGACGTGGGACTAGATCCCAGGACTCTGGGATCATGACCTGAGCTGAAGGCAGACGCTTAACCAACTGAGCCAACCAGGTGCCCCAGGAGAGGAGGATTTTAAAAGCTAGGAATACTGCCTTCCGTAAGGAGAAAATAGTAATTGTTTTAGCTTTTTTTACTTTTTTTTTTTTTTAAATAGTATTCTTCAGAGGAGGAAGAAGTTGATCTTCAGACAGCTCTTACAGGCTATCAGACAAAACAGAGAAAGCTTCTAGAACCAGTGGACCATGGAAAAATTGAATATGAACCATTCAGAAAAAACTTTTATGTTGAAGTTCCAGAATTAGCAAAAATGTCTCAAGAAGGTAAAATTCTTTCATTCATTTATTAGTTATTGTGGGAACAGAGGGGGATATGCTTTGCTTTGCTCAGGAGGAATATTGGATAGGTGTGTGAGTTGATGCTTGAGTAGGAGGAATTTGCATGGCTTACCTGAAGAAGTGAGAAAGGAAACTAGACTGTGAGAAGTCATTCTAGAGAGTTATGAACGTCATCTGCAAAGATTCAGACCAGTGAGAAATCAATGTAGTTTTGGAAGTATTTTTAAAAATGAGCAAAAATTAGTTTGGCTCATGTAGTTGAGATTTTTAGGGTTGAGAGTACTCTTTATGTGAAGTTACCAAATTAGGTATTGTTAACGTTTTCCTTCTGGGATTTGAGGGTTAGGAACCAATGTGAATCTTGTAATACTGGTAGAATAAGGATAATCTGTACAACTTTTGCTTGGAGAAAAACTGTATTACCTGTCAATCATTGTTTTTTTATTGATGTCATAATATAAGACATAGTAAAAGCAAATTATAGAAATTGGAGTATTTCTTTTTGTCTCCAGTTAGTTGTGGCATTGATTGTATTAACTGTCTCCGTGAGCTGTTCAGTATTTTGTCCTGTAGCTTTTCTGTGGCGGTATCTTTAGTAGCACTAAAAAAAAGATTTGAAGATTCTTAATCTTACCGGGCCTGACTCAAAAGTAGAAGGCATTAATGAAACAATATTTAACAGCTTTTAATCTGGATTTTGTTTTGTAGAGGTGAACGTATTTCGGTTGGAAATGGAGGGCATTACTGTCAAGGGAAAAGGTTGCCCCAAACCAATTAAATCTTGGGTCCAGTGTGGAATTTCCATGAAGATCTTAAATTCTCTCAAAAAGTAAGTGGTTAGCAATTATCTACATTTTTCAATGTCTTTCTATTCAGAATGGTTCTTTTATACAATTAACTCTGTTATACTTTTATTCTAATAGGAAAACTTACTATTTTTTTCTTACACAGCTTTATTGAGGTAGCATTTACATGTCATAAAGTTTACTCTTTGAGTATACAGTTCAGTGATTTTTAGTATACTTATGGAGTTAAACAGTCATCACCATAATCTAATTTTATAACATTTCATTATCCAGAGGAGGCCTGTATCCATTCATAGTCACACTTCTCCCTTCTCCTCTCCTAAGCAGCCACGAATCTACTGTCTCTAGATTTGTCTGTTGTGGACATTTCCTATAAATGGGATTGTACTAATGTAGTCTTTTGTGACCAGCTTCTTTCACTTACCGTAACATTTTCAGTGTTCATCCATGATGTAGAATGCCTCAGTACTTCATTCCTTTTTGACAAATATTATTTCACTGTACGGATATGCCACATTTTGGAAAACCTTATTATGGGACTTTGAGAGACCCAGAGATCTCACTTTTTACCTTGTCTTCCTTTGGTTTGCTTTTTAAGGCATGGCTATGAAAAGCCCACACCAATCCAAACCCAGGCGATTCCTGCTATAATGTCTGGACGAGATTTGATTGGTATTGCCAAGACAGGAAGCGGAAAGACCATTGCTTTTCTGTTACCCATGTTTAGACACATCATGGATCAGAGGTCATTAGAAGAAGGAGAGGGGCCAATAGGTACAATTCCTTTCATTAAAGTGTTTTTTCAGGTAACACCTTTGTTGTCAGTTAATCAGAAAGACCTGATACTTTATAATGTTCTATTATAACAATAAAGATGTCTTTATGTACATTTCCTTTATAAATTTGGCACTTTGGGGCTGATTTCCCCTTACCAGCAGGTGGAGTGAGAATCTTCAGAGCTCTGGAGTGACATCTCAGAAGTACAAAAACAGCCTCTCCTGGCACAGCTCAATTTTTAAACTCTGACCCGGCAGGTAGACTCCTCGTGCATCTATCTGTTTATTTATATTGAGGTTTGTGCTTAGCGAGTATCATGGATCAATAAACTCAACATGGAAGATTGTAGGGAAATATATTTCCTTTTTTTATTTTTGGCCTTAAAAGGCTGTATAGTGCCAGCATTTCCTTCAGGATTAGGTCTTCAGATTCATTTCTTGATTCATTTGGCAGAAATGTGTTTTGCAAATTTGAGTAGGGTTTTGGAAATTTGTTCAGCTCCTCTCTTGGAAAAAGAGGGCACAATATATTCCTACTCTGTCTGCCCCTCAGACCAAGGTTGTTTCCCGGAAACCGAGGTATGGCTCTGCAGCACAGTGAGTCACTTGATTATCTTTGCTCTGTGATTTGCAGTTGAGAATGATTTGCATTCTTTGCAACCAAGTATTTTCCTGATGGTTGAGTGAGGCATTTAACTCTCATTTATCTTTCTATAGCATGTTCTTAAAATCTACTTAAAATTATCATATACCACAACATCTGCTGTTATAAAGCTTTTGAAATAGGATTTTCCAAGGTCCATAAAACAAATGAAAACAAAAATTAGACTAAGAAATTTGAATGTTATTATAGAGGTTAAATTTAACACTTTAAAGCATAGCCTCCAGAATTTTGGTGGTTAGTCTTTTGACATATTTATCTTTTCAGCTGTCATCATGACTCCAACTCGAGAACTGGCTTTACAGATTACTAAAGAATGTAAGAAGTTTTCGAAGACCCTGGGACTTAGAGTGGTGTGTGTTTATGGAGGAACAGGAATCAGTGAGCAGGTAGGTACCCATCTCCAAGTGTCTTCTTTTTTTTTTTTTTAAAGATTTTATTTATTTATTTGACAGAGAGAGACACAGCGAGAGCAGGAACACAAGCAGGGGGAGTGGGAGAGGGAAGAGCAGG